CAAATGACCAGGGAAAGTTAAATCAGACTCCTGCCTATATTTTTTTTCTTTTTCTTTTTTTTCCATCCTCTCCGACCCTCTCTCACTCTCCCTCTCTCTCATCATTTCTCTCTCATGCTGGATTCGAGGCTGCAGTGCAATTTTGCTGTTACATAACAGAAAGGGAACAGAGAAATGGTAAAACTAATGAAGGCAAAAGCAAGCGGCTAATGGAGAACATTTTCTGAGTCACACTTAGGCTTCAGGCAGATCGCCTCGGGTCAGTTTGTGCTCTCACAGTTATGAAGCTGTGTATGAAAGGCTGAGTGCACAGGGTTATTCGCAACAATCCGCCATTACTGTGTGGGAATGCTCTCACACTGTTGCTTGGCAGGAAAAGGGTGGAGATTTAGCTGTTTTTTTTTTCTTATTATTTATCCGGCTTTGACAGTCAGCAGTGAATATGTAATTACAAGGATGGAAATATTTGACCCCACCATTTATTTTCTTGTTCAAATATAAAACTGATTTTCTCCTCTGAAATGTTTTTTTTCTCTGCACCAGACTTTTTTTTTTGTTGAAGGCTTTTTACAGTGTCGTCGAACTTACTATTCCAATGTACCGCGTTATATTTATGGCAGGGGTGGGTGTTAATTTAAGGGCTGTGAGAATGTCTAAGAGGGGAAAACTCTGTTTCCATTTTCATGATTGTAGAAAGCAGAAGGGTTCGAAGGCGCCTGCAAAATACAGATTTTATTTTTTTATTCAACAATTTTTATAGATTTTTCAAACAAGGAATAACAAACACACCAATTCACCTGACCAAAGTCATTTAATAAAATATAACACACTACTAAATTGGCCTCTAAGTTGCAGGACAGGTAGACAGGCTACCTATGTGAGCATGTACTGATCAAGCTTGTTCAACAGAGAATATGTCGCTCTCTCATTGGCTGCTTGATGAGGAGTTGCAGCCCGTTCTTCATAAAGAGGGTGTTCTCTCCTCCAGCGTCTCAGTATGATCTGTTCAGCTGTTGGGAAAGCTAAAATAATGCACCATTTGTCAAAGAAGGACCAGTCAGAGAGTCTACAGCCTGACTTTTAAAGAGCAACATTATTCGTAAGTGATTAAACTTCAGGATGTGTCATGTTTGGTCCCTTCAGTGGAACAGATGTGGCTCCGTCAACATCCACAGCTCACTCTGAAGGCACCACCTGCTGAGTGTTTGAGGAAGCATCAGTCTGTGAAAATGTTTAAAATCATCTCAAATGGCCAATTTAGTTTGTGTTACCAGTCGATGTGTCTGTCTTTCTCCATATTTGAAAACACTGAAGGTGTGTCGAGTCATGCTTCAGCTGCGCTTTAAGTGATACAAGTTCATCCGAACAAAAATATATTTGGTTGACTTAGATTTCTAAGTCACTCTAGACATATAGAATGTTTTTAATCAGGATTTTTTTATTGCAGATTATACATTTAATCCAATAAATAACTACAGAATGTTTGCCTTGGTCTTTTAAAATTGTAAATGTTTACTTAAAAGTAATTTAAAACCTTCCTCAGTGAAGGTCAGTCATTTTCATCTTGAGGAGAGGTCGTGCGCTTTAGCATCCTCTTTTGACCAGGAAACCAGATTTTTTTTATTTTTATTTTATTTGAGTTTAAGAAAAGGAGAGAATTGTTCCACTTTATGAAATTGGAAGCTAGGTTTTTTTTTCCTCTTTTTTTTTAATGTGGAAGTGAAATCAAAGACTCTGTTGTCAGATTTTTTTGTATGTTGCCGTGGTATTGGTTGCCAAGTGATTGTAATTGGACAGACCATCTAGATACTGTATCTTTGGTTTTCTCTTTGAGTGAGGGGCAGGCAAATAAGACTTGATCTTCTCCCTGTTTATTTCCAAACATGGATTGGGATCAAATTGTGAATCGTTTTCAGTGAACGATGTGTGTTTTGACATGTTTGGAACAAACAAAAAAAAAAAAAGAATTTTCCTTTCAACAATGAATAATATTCTGACAGAAAGAGAGCCCTGACAGATATTAAACATTTGACATGAAAAGCAAACAGTTGCACAAACAAACAAAAAAGTGTCACAAATACACTAAGCCTGTTGGACGATACAAGAATTTAACATTTTGATACGATTCTATTATAAAACAAAAAATATCCATACCTGTTTTTATATGATGGCAACTAAAGAAGTCTATACAACAAGTAGTCCTAGTCACCCCAAAGTGAAAGATTTCTTGTTTTTGTTACCCCTGCACACTGACTCTCGAAAGCAGTAAAACATCATCAGGGTTTTTTTTGTTTTTTCACAAAGTTACATTTTGCATATCACAACAACTTTATATATATATATATATATATATATATATATATATGTGTATGTATATTAACTCAGACACTGGTACCACAGCTGTATTCTAGTTCTTTACACAGACTTATCTTTCCAAACATATTTTTGCAATAAGATGAGGATACTTGGCTGAAAGAATATTTCACTAGGGGGACTTTGTTCAATAAAAGTTTGAGAACCACAGGTCTTTAGGGTGACTCTCCTGCCTTACTCATTATATGAGGAAGATGTTTTTGCAGACATTGAAAATAATTTGGTTAGGTCTCTTAAAGTTTGGATCAAAGAGCAGCTCGGTTGTGGTATAGCCTGCCTTGGGATTTGACCTGTCGGAGCAGTCACGCTTAATTGGCTAACAATATGGGTAAAATAAATCACTGTAGTCCTCTGCCTCTGATGATGGGATATGGATTTATTTATGACACTAAAGATCAATACACTTTATATTAAGTAGTTCATACTCTTAATGGTCCATTGTGACACAAACACATATCAGACTCTGGCCCCAGCTGTCATGTTTAAATCACAGATGTGACCGTGTGCTCGGGTAAACCATGCCTCTAAAACAACTTTGTTTAAGTTCACACAAGTATTCACGCTGTAAGTTTCCTACCTCACAGGGCTCAGAGTTGTGTCGTCGTTCAAGTCAAAAGCCCCAAGGCCCTGGCCTCGGGCTAGAGTTGCGTAGCAGGTGCTCACAAGAGGCCAACCAGGCGCCCCCCCCCCCCCCCCCCCCCCACAGTGTAATACTATCTCTGATGAGGATTTCTGAATGTCCCAGATCCTTTAGTGGTCATTTTAAAACTGATATTTGGTCGATGTTGGTTTATGTTCAGAGACAGTGGATGTTACGTGTGCAGACTTGGAAAAAGATGTTGCTTGAAGAAGGGCAAAAAGTTATTCTAAAGGTTATCAAGAAACTGTGAGACGATGTCTTCCGGATGTTTGACACCATTGTCAAATTGCCCCCCCGGGGACAAGTAAAAGTTTTTGAATTGAATAAGGAGCAACTAATTAGCTACATACATAGAAAAATCTTCCCTGTACTTTACCAGAATCATAACGTTGGCTTTAAGATATTAAATAAAAGGTGTGATGTTCAAATGTTATCTAATTGGATCAATCGGCGTATTTCATAAATGTATTTTCAATAAGCTCTTGGCACGTTGCTTCTTGTTGATGTCATCGGTAGGAAATGCAGGAAATGAAACTCTGCGAGCTCATTAAATCTGAAATTTCACTGCACGCCTGTTGGAAAGCTTTAAATGCTGACATCCTGAATATCGTCTGTCCCTACAGCACAGTGTGACACCGAGTAAGTGCAGGTCTGATTACCACTGATGTCACCTTTGGGAAGGATGGATGCTAAGGCAACACACACATACTCTCACAGAGCTACCGACACATCAGTATTTGCTTTCAGCTTAGTGCGTAAGTCACACTTGTACGCTATGTGCAAAGTCGGCAAGTGGACGTTAATTAAGAGCTTTTATATTTCGAAGACTGGAGAGCTGCTGAATTGGAAAGTCCACAGGATGTCGTCTTTAATTAAGTCCTTTTTGTACCTTTCTGTCAGTGTAAACTGGCTCATTAGGGGGGCAGTAAAAAAACGGACGTATTAACACTCTGGGCCTTTGTGTAGGTCGAGGCCACTAAAAGTACCTCACAATGATGGTTTCTTTTAAAAACATTAAGTTTCCTCCTACCTGTTTGATGTCAGCTGCTTAAATGGCAGCGACACAGGGTCCATTTTAAAGAGTTGCATTGTGGGGGTTTCTATTCTTTGGTCACAAGAGCAGGATTTGGACTCACAGTCTGTCCAAAGACTCATTGGGGCTGTGCATGGTGAATGTGCTCCGTCTGCTTTAAATGCGCTGATAAGGTTATAAAGTTCACTGTTTAAAATGAAAATGCATGCAAACAGGATTCAGGCCTTTGAATGCATCTCTTGTATCCAAAATTACTCATTGAATTGCTGTGAAAAGCAGCCCTTATTAGGCCACTAATTATGGTAATTGATAGTAACAGAGATTTGTTGTGGATTTGGTTAGTCTAATTTCCATGATGCCTTCCAGACTGGAGGCGAAAAAACACATCTTTTTATACTCTGAAATAATAGTGACTTACACAGAAGCAAATGTCAGACTTTAGATAATACCTCTGTTCTTCTATAATAAGAATTAGAAGTATAAGAAACGTCTCTTTTGACGTTTGCGTTGCACATTAAACAAACTACCTCATGTCATTTAGACTTAGTACTCATATTATGGCCATTTTAACAGATTCATCTCAGTTCCGAGCTTCATGTAATCACTTTTTCCTATGAAAACGGCGAAGCGAATTAGAAACTGTGAGGCTCTGTTATAAATACTGAACATTAAGTGACTCGCAGATCACAGCAGCAATCTGGTAAATTGTCTCAGAATGAGGGCTCTGAGAATCGGGGGTGAACAGTTACTCCCTCTCTTGCGGGAGTGGATCCCCTGCAAGGTACCGAGTATCTGCTCCTCACATGTCTTAAATGTCGATTGCTCAGCGATGTGGCGTTATCTGTGTATCCATCCAGCCTTTTCATCAATGAAAGGTCAACTAAATCACTTTGAATATATAATGAAGGAATAAACAGCTCTCATGATATATGTTTTTTCTTCTTCCCCTTCCAGCTGTTCCGTTCCCCCCGAGTCACCGGCTGACGGCTAAAGAGGTGTTCGACAGTGAGGGGAAGCCCAAAGTGGACGTGCTGAAAGCTCACCTAACCAAGGAGGGCCGCGTGGAGGAATCGGTGGCGCTGAGGCTCATAGCAGAGGGCGGCGCTATCTTGCGCGCAGAGAAGAACCTGCTGGACATTGAAGCCCCCGTGACAGGTCAGAAGCCTGATATGACTCATTTTTAGTCATGTGGACGATAAGCAGAGATTCAACATAAGCAATCATGTGGGCTTTTATTATTCCTTTAATAGCTTTTATCTGTCAAATATTTTGATGATGTTTTTTTTTTTTTTTGGGCCAATCCCAAACGGCAAGGATTCATTTGCGAGTTTCCTCATGTCATATTACAATTTAGCTCCCGGGTATACTCCATTATATTGAAAAAATAACTATTTAAGTATATACTTAACATACTAAGTATGTTTCCCAACCTTTTTGGTCCATTTCATAGAGAGAGAGAGAGAGAGGGATGAAAAAGCCTGCTCTCCGTCTGTTCATTAATCGATTGAGTTGCGATGTGCCAACAAACTGCTTTAAGTCAGATCGGACGAAGGTGATGACAGGCAATGCACAGAGGCAAAGCAGATTGTTTTTACCTAAAATCTATCAAGCTTACAATCAACTCCATGTGAAAAATACCGTGTTTGTATGCAGACATGGCAAAAAGAAAAAAGAAAAACCCTCCCTTCGTTAGCAGTCACTCGTTATCAAGACTGCAACTGGAATGGACAACTTGCAGAAACAAGAAGGTGTTAGATTTAGTGTTGGATTTGAAAAGCCCCCTCTGCTGACTTTTTTTTTAATACAGGGCTGCAATGTTTCAGCCATGTGACAAATTCATTTTTCTTAATAAAGTGAATCATTGTGTCCCCAGGCTGCATTTTGGCCATGTAGCTAGCCATAGCGGTGAATGCTTTTTGAGAAAAAAAAAAAAAAACAGGTTTAGTTCACCCACTTTGCAAATATTTATCAAGCTTAATGACACTCCGCTGTCTGCTTCATGCTGTTTTAATACTTAGCTGATGGTAAGAAGTAAAGCTAATACGACTAATTCCCCCTTTTATTGTAGCTACTAACCATTGGGGAGGGAAAGCCGTAAAGAACAGCACTGAAGCGGATACATTTTCTGTCTATTGTTTGCTGATGCTAATTTTTACTGTGGAGGACTCGTTCTGTGTGAAATGCTGACCTGGAGAGGAAGCTGCTTCTGTGAAGGAACACTGTGTAGAAGGAGGCTCACTGATGCATATGCACTGATCCACAGCATCCATTGTTGTCTTTCTTCCTGGTCAAGTGCCCTGTTCCTCCATTAGACTTTCTGATGAGGCGTCTTTTGATGTTCGCGTAATCAGAAGCAGAGGCCCACTCAAAGGATCTATGGCAACCAATCATTTTTATTAATATGAGCTCGTTCTCATATTATTGTGCTGGGTGGCCCGGCTGGCGTTGTGCTTACTTAAATTCATGAATGCGTGGTCCTTTTTCAACCAAACAGGGGTTCTAGTATGCCTAATCAAGCTATTAAAAAGTGAATATATCTTCTTATTTATATTCTGAGTGTTTAAAGAGTGAAGCTCCACAAACAAAAAGATGCAAACAGGTCGGACAATCATGAGCTGTACTCGCTGCCTCTGTCTTTTTGTTTGCTGGCACATAACCAGGGGATTAAGAGTAATCCTGTTCAACATTGGTAGATTTTGGTTATTTAGCCATGTTTACACATAACTGCATGGCTTTCAGAAAGGTCTTTGAAAGTGTCAATGTGTCTGAACCCGTAGCCTTACACTAGACAATCCCAAACAAAATATATTCTACCTCCGGCTCAGCTTCCAACCCAGACTAAATTGTATTGATTTTCTTTTGGTTAAAGCAAACATGGCTGAATAAGTTAATTTCCACAGAGAGAGACGATGAGCTGTTTGTCAAACTTACACACAAATACTCAATAAAGAGTAAAAAAAAAGCTGCAATCGTTCTCAGAGACTGTCCTAATGTTGGGCTGGAGCTGAAACCCTTAAAGTGACAGTGTTTATTTTATAGCATGCTTTTTAAGATGCACTTCAAATATGCCTGCGCTGGTTGACGACGGGGATCTTATATCTGACAGTGATTTAAAAGGGTGTCAGACATGTTAAGCGGTTTTATGATTTCCAAGCCTTAACTTATCACGCACTGCTTTCTCGTGTGTGAACTTGCTGAAACACTGACCTTTCGCTACAATAGAATTGTTATTGCTGCATTAAAAAAAAAAAAGCACTGTCACAAGCCAAACTCTATTTGAGATATTATAACATTTAAAATGATGAACCTGCCTTTGTTGTTACTTTAAAAAAACAGTGGACAGCTCCTGTTTTACATGAAGGCTCCAGGATCCTCAGGAGCTGTGTGTATGTGTGTTTGTCCTCGTTGCAATGAAGCACATCTTTCCCTCCCACTCAACACCCCTGTCTCAACCCCTCTCCCACTCACTGGCCCTTTTCAACAAGGATTTCTCTGTTGCGCGTGCTCGTGATCCTGCTGTGTCTGCCTCGCATGTATGCCCCCGGAACTCATGAAGCATTCTCTCTAAACATTTCTTTTGTTTTTCTCGGCACTCCTCTCCTCCCTCTATCTGCCATGTTTTTATTTTGTTTCCCCATCTGTCTGTGTCATTGCTCTCTTAATCCTCCCCCCCCCCACCCCCGTTAGCACACCTTCCATTCCAACATGGCACCTATAGTCAGCAGATTAGTCAGTAAATATTTATCATAGATGTAAAGCGCCATGACGCGTCACCTATCTCTCTCTCTTGCCTTCTTCTTCTCACAGTCGCACAGTCATTTCCTGGTTGGCCCAGATGGCAGGTGGGGTTTTTTTCTTGGAGGGAGGGTAGTGCATATGTGTGTGTGTGTGTGTGTGTGTGTGTGACGAATGGGGCAGGATTAGGCCACTGAGTACAAGCTGCTCCCATGGCCTTCGCACAAGTCATCCCATCAATAGAGCTCCTACATCTGCATCACCAGGCAACAGCGAGATTTTACACTGTTCATACATCTGTCAACAATGCAGGGGATCGACCCCATCGGAGCTGTGGACTGTCACATACCAGAATACAATGAAGCATGCTCAGGGAACCTGTACAATCTGAATTAGGTCAACAAAAAACAAAAAAAACTTGTCTTTTCAGCTTGTGCATTTCAAAATACTTGGTGTTTTGTTAATAAATAGTGATGTTTTCTTTGTCAGGAAATGATAGGACTTTGAATGTGGAATTTCCTGTTTAAATCTTAGGTCACACAAGGACCTTGGTTTGAACGGCAGCTTTATCAGTTTCATGTGAAGTGTGTTTGCTCTGTGTAGCATTCAAGGCCATTAAACCTTTCTACTAGGTTGTTATGCAACAGTCTTAAAATGAGTAGGCAGATAAATTGGACACAGCACTATCAGAATTAAAACTGACAAGAACAGTTCTTTTAAATATCTCTTGTTCAGTAAACCGTATATTTTTACAGTTTTTCCCCCTTAAGAGTGACAATGCTCAACTCTTCTGCAGAGTAGATCATGCCAATTCATTATGCTGTAAAAATGAAATTATCCAGCAAGAGAACTGCACAGGGCTAATAGAGTGGCAGTCTAAAAGCTTGTGGTTGATTCATCAATAAACCTTCCTTTGCTCTAAAGAGTCACAGTTCAAACCTGTGGCTTACACCAACGCAGTAATTTGAAGTTAAATCTAAGTCAGACGCTGTGACATTTATTGCCGCTGCTGCTGCACCAGCAATTTCAGCTTTTAAAACTTCACAAACAGCTTGATGGTCATGACAGATTGCAAGCTCCACCTCCGCCTTTGCATAAATGCACACTCTGCAGGATGTAGGCTTTCCGAGAGTCGGTGCCATCATAAAACCTGGGGGGGGGGGGAAGGGGAAGATTGTTATCAACCAGTCTCAATCAGAACATTATCTGGCACAGTCTGCCTCACCGTGCATTTCTCTCGCTCAATGAGCCCGGCCTTTTGGAGTGGCCTGTGTAGGTTCTGAAGCCAGGTTGTGTAATGCCCACCACCCACTCGATAGCTGCTGCCCGTTGATATGCTGCTACTCAGGGAGATCACTTTAGCGCACAGGCAAGAGATGGCCAGAACGAATTGTTTCTCACTCCAGATAATGTACTCCCACCTGCTCTTCTTATGTGGGCTCTGCTTCTCACCTCGTTTTTGTGTGTTGTGTGACAAGAGGGAGGGAAGCAAAGCATGTCTGTAGGTGTGCTGGAGCTGAGCGATGGGTGGATTGTGCTCCCGCTGTGATGAAGCAAAACCCCGAGCCGGTGGAGTGGGCTGCTCTAAAGCAGTTGCGTTTAATATGCTTTGGCGGGTGATGTTCACACTCATGCAGAAAAGTCGTCTACAGTTCCCAGTGACCATAACACCGGCCAGAGTTTAACTCTCACTGTTGTCGTGTCACCCCGCTGTTTTCGCTGCCAGCAAGTGACAGCTTTCCAAAAGGTCAGCTGGAGGTGCAGTCCTCCCACACACAGTGTGTTTGACAGGCGCTTCAGGTGAAATCGCAGCCACTTACTCCCTCACTGGACTCCCTCCTGCAGAGCTGGCCTCTGAAAATATGAAAGTATTGTTAATTCCCCTGTGAAAAAGCTCTCTGTTCTGGTACCAATACAGCCGCTGCATAGATTTTCACAATAATTGCACTCTTGGTGGTCATCCTGTCAGATAGTATTGTATTTCACAGTTAAACATGCAGAAAACAAAAGGTGCTTTACAGAGGAGAAGCTTGCCTGTTGCGTCCATCTGTTTATTTCAACACAGTAGATACATTGCATTGTTGCCATTGGTGATACTCCCAGAAGGTCCTTTATCAGGTCAGCAGCAGCTTGGATTTGTTTTTCTTCTCTCAGTGATAGAAGCTGCCTTTGTTGAAAGAATGTTTCCATAGCAATGACGAGGCTTAGCATCATCATGCACCCTGCACCGAGAAGCAAAATGAAGCTCTTGGATTGGACTAGTTGTGTTGTCCTTTTAAAAAAAAAAAAAAAATGACATTTGAAAAATGACAAAAACAGTACATAAACAATGAATGTGAAGCCTTAATGGCTTCCTTGATGCAAGATATAAATATGTGATGTTAAAAATTATCTAAAAAAAAAAAAAGGCTTATTTTCTATCTTGAGGATGAAAAAGTCACTTTCTTGCTTCAGTTGATGTGATTTTGTACATCTCTACATTTGGGTTTTGATTTTGACCGTTCTAAATTCCTTCAACTGTTGCACAAACACTTCTTTTTTTTCATACATGAGTTATTTGGGGCCACACCCAATGTAACGTCCGTTATTGACTCATTCACCAAAGAAACATGCATAATTTTTTATTGTGTATTGAACAAATCAAAATCAGATCACGATCATGAGTTGTACATGAGCTTATTATTTAACAAATTAACAGACAAAAGTCCGTCCATAAATTATTTCAATTCTGCCAATTTAACCCTTTTGATGGACCACCAAAAAAGACAAACGAGGCTTTGCATTAATCATAAAATATGGGAGCGATGGATACCAGAAATATGTTGACAAAACATCCAACACGTCAACATGTGCCATGTCCATTTTATGTTGTGAATAAAGTTAATGAAAATGCCAATAAATGAGAATATTATTTTAAAAAGCTAGATTCTAATTCAAGCATTTTTTTTTTTTTGCCATTTTTGTTCCAATGAATCCATTTTCAGGAACAGCACAAGCCATCTAAAATAAGCCTCCACTACGTGTTTGTAGTGCTGGCTTGATTGCATCAGGGGAGTAAGGACATCTTTTAGAAATTGGACACATATAACAGGGTTTCTTTTTGAAGTTAGTCCCCACTGTGGGTTTAAACAGTTACACAGTGTGGGTTTAATAAAAGACAAATGGTAAAGCGGAGGTTTACGATACAGTCAAGGAGAGCTGATTCTCCAAGCTGTCTAGCGAGCCTCGTAACTTGAGATAATTGCTCTCCAACGCTGTCCTCCAGCTCCCACTAATTGGGGATCTCTCTGAAAGACTTTTTCACAGGCTCTTATTGTAATTCTCGGTGCTAGATACAGTGCATAAATCAACAAACAGTCTTATGAAAAGAAAGGCTTTGTCCTTCTCAAATGTGATTTCAATCTATTTACCCTGTTTTGAATCACTTCATTAGCTGATTGTTTGAATAACAGATGGATGGACATCAGAAACCCATACCGTGCTCATCATTGTTGTCACTGTGATAGTCTAAAATGTAATATTGCTGATTGTTGACTTGTGTTGTTGGTTTAATAAATCTTCCAGGTGACTTTTAAAAATGTTTTATATTGGTTTGATATACAGTATATCAGTGGTTCCCAACTGGTACTGCCAACCTTACAGTCGTTTAGTTTTTGCGACCAATCCATTCTGAGTCTGTGGAGTCAAGCCCAGGTGAAAAACTAGAATATCACCAAAAAATGTTGAAACTGGAGCTTAACTAAATGAAAATAAGTAGCATCAACACTACAATCCGTTAACATAACATTAATAGCATTTCAAAAGTAGTTACATCTAATTCCTGCTTATTCATCCCTGCCTCTACGGTTTAGACATCATGTGAATTGGCCTGATAAAGAATAGGGCAATTAAAGAGCTTCACTGCAGCAAATGCATTAACATGATTAAAGCTGTTTCTTGCACTTTAATGCAACATCATAACAATTGTGTTATCTTGTTTTTGAGTAGGTTAGCTTAAACTCCTAGACAGACTGCTGAAAGTCTCTCTGGGTATCTCTCACTAAACTCTGCTTCCACTTCCTGTAAATACTATTTTAGTGTCTGAATGTTTGTATTGGTGTGTTTGTGTATACCAAAGACTATGTATAGAAACAGACTTTCTTCAAACCTCATTAATGCTACCAATACTGTTATTATGTTGATTAAAAAAAAATGCTTCTTATTTCTGGATCATTCTCTGAACTGTGTTTTTCTACAGATTCAAGTTTAACAGTAGATTCATTGATAACCTAGAGTTCTTTACCTGGATTAGTCCTCCCATTAAACCTAGTGTACTTTGAAGTATTGCAACGGTCATTTCATAAAAACATTTTTTTGATAAAACAAAATCCATTCGAGGAACGATGAAAGCTCCCAGAATGGCTTTGTGGTCCTAAAATAGATCCACCAGTGGGGAAAAACCAATGAGGATGTTTATCAATAATAAATGAAAAGTTCAGGTGTAGCTGACCCATTGAACCAGCCTTTGAAGTATCTACTAAAGTGACAGAATGCTTTTAAATCTGACACCCCCACCCCCCACATGCATCCTGTCAGCCAATGGTGGCTAAGCAGCAAATCTCCTTTGGCCTTTTGCTCCCCTCATCTCCCCAGAGAGTAATACGGCAAAGGGTCACGTTGGGAGATGGGAAACCGATCCATATTAAGTGATTTGCGGTTCCTGATTTCTGATGGGAATGGGTTTTTATACCAGAACTCTCCCTTGACGCTATATAACAGCTGGCTGCTGGGTTGTTAGTATTTGCACAGAGTTGATATGACACTAGATTGAAACAAGTCAAGCGATATATAATGGATTCCACCGTGCTGACAGCTACTGACGTTCCTGGGGATTCAAGCTGAGAAACAGACTGTCAGTACTTCTTAGGATGAAGTGCAAATTCTCCCAGCAATTATCTGTTAGTAATTGCTCCGACAAGCCAGATTTGCATCACGGTTAACGTGGCGTGTTTAGAAATGGGATACAACCGAGAGCCGTTTAGTGGTTTCAGCCAATGAACTTTTAGTGCGTTTGGCAGGGAGAGGTGTGTTCGAATTAGGTCTTACTAGCCAGTTGAAACACCTCAAGGTTATAAAGAGGCTGAAGGTGGATGTGGTGGAAAGGCAAGGCATGAAAAGGCAGACTCGAGCCAGATCCTGTTATCCGTTTCCATATTGGACATCTGCTTTCTGACAGAAGATTGTGTGCAAAGAAGTATTCACAGTTTTGACGTGTGATTTTAATTATAACGCTTTTGTGTTCCCATTTTATTTCCCATTCTTCCCCTCGTTCTGGTTGGTTAGGAAAGGCTCAGGTTCTTTGTCGTATTGTGTCCTACATATACGTGTGACAGTCCGTACGGTGCTACGTTGAAGGTTTGTTGGTAAAAAAAACTTTTTTCCGAGCACTTCACATCTGATGGAAACTTTGGAAATAAGCAAATATCCTGTCACTGTGTTAAAATGGATTTTATCTGAAAGTTTCTCTGCTCTAAAAATAGCTTTTTTTCTGATGTCTTTTTTTTCGTTCCTCTTTCTGCCTCGTTGCAGTGTGCGGAGACATCCATGGGCAGTTCTTTGACCTGATGAAGCTGTTTGAAGTAGGAGGATCACCAGCATCTACGCGCTACCTTTTCCTGGGGGACTACGTTGACAGAGGGTATTTCAGTATTGAAGTAAGGCTGTGTATTTATTTCTTTATTTAGGTGTCCTCGCGAGGGCCTAATCAAGTATGACACACACCATACGCCAAACAGAAGCTGTGTTTATTAATAGCTTTCTTTGAGCGTAGATCAAATCAGGCTGCTGATATTGGAGCAGTAATAGGCTTTTGTAATAACTTCAAATGTAGCCCGGATAGCAAATGTCACGCTGTAGCTTAGGGTTATGTAGAGAGAGATTTTTAATATGAAGCAAAATATGTGTTTTAATCTAGGACGTTGGTTGGAATTTACTTCTCTAGATATTCCCTGCCATCTCATCGTCTGGAACATTATACTTTTATTAATAAAACATGTTTTAATGGAGTGTGCCGTGCCTGTCTTCTGGTGGCTCCTCTGGAGGTTTGTCATCTCTCCCAGCGAGCCTGAAATGTGCCACAAAATGTAGCGCATAAATGTTTCATTATAAGCAGAAGCGCGTGTATTATTTCACTCTGCGACGTTGACAAAGTCTGCCTTGATGGTTTTGTGTTTTGAGTGTTATTTCCAGATGACACACTAACCATTCCCCAATGCCTTTTTTGTGTTCTTCTTTGTTTCAGTGTGTGCTGTACTTGTGGGCCTTAAAGATCCTTTACCCAAAAACACTGTTTTTGCTGCGTGGGAATCATGAATGTAGACATTTAACAGAGTATTTCACATTTAAGCAGGAATGTAAGTAATGCTTTTGCACTTCATTTTCATACCTTTGATCTACATGAGCAGTCTGGTGTGTGAATCTCTGCACAGAGCCAGTTATTCTTTCTAAAAGCTGTTTATTCTACCAGCGACCTCAAACGCTCACTTAAAAGTGCCCTCTGGCCTGGAACAGGATTCAGTCCCATTTTTTTTTTTTTTTTTTTTCTTGCCTGTCTTGATATTTACACACGTCAGAACTATTTCTGTTGGACTCAGACAGAGTGGTGGAAAAAAACACAAAAGCGCTGTGAAATTGTGCTGCTCTTAAAGTGTGTTTGGGAAGTTTTTTGGCCCTTTTTAAAGCCTTTTCCGTCCCAGTCTAGCACACTGCCCCAATGTATGAAAGCTGTGGTGTTTGACTTGGCGTGCTCTCCTTTTCCCTGCCCTGTTTCCCCCCATGACAGGTAGAATTAAGTATTCAGAGAGGGTGTATGACGCATGTATGGACGCCTTCGACTGCCTTCCCCTGGCTGCACTTATGAACCAGCAGTTCCTGTGTGTACACGGAGGACTGTCTCCAGAAATCACAAATCTTGACGACATCAGGAAAGTATGTGTCTGATTCGGGACCATTTTCTCTATAATTTCATGCAGCTCCAGCCTGTGTGTGTATGTGTGTGTTTATGTAACAGCAGGTGCCCAATGATGGCTATAAAAGCACAGAGCATTTGTTGAAAATTGGAGCTTCCTGTCTGCTTCATGTATTTTCTGCATTCATTCAAAGTTAATGAGGAGAAGACTGTGCTCGCTTTAGAGTGATGTGCTGTGAAAATAACAACCTGAGTTGCAAATGCATGAAGCGATTCTCCCAGATCTGTCTCAAAATCAAAATAAGGCTCAGGACTTGGACACCAGGGATTGCAAGCACAGGGTCTGGTCCTCGCTCTGATTAAAAAAATGTTGAAGAGTTGGATCCCGCTTTCAAACTAATTCAATAACTCCAAATGGATTTTGTGGCTGCAATCAGAGGGCATGCATAATAGAATTTGCTCCATTGAAGTGTCCATCATGCTATGCCTCCTGTAATCCACAAGCTTTTGTTTGAGAAAGAGCTATACTTGGCTTAAAGCAGAGTTATTTATGTTCATCACTCCTTAAGAATGACAGCCAGAGTTTTTATGTGTCTCAAAAAGAGCCCTTTAAAAACCTTCCTACACGTCATCCACACTGTATATCTTTTCAGCTTTAATTCAATACAATGTGACTTCAGCATAAATGTAAGTCACAGTAACAAAATAATAATAATGATAATGTCAGCTGCAGCCTCTGACGTGGCTCTAACGGAAGAAGCAAAAAAAAATGTTTTCTCTGCACTAGCATGCGAGCTCTAAGTGCATTTTTTCCACTCAAAGAGGCTGACATGAGTCCTACTTTTCCTTCCACAGCTAGACAGATTCAAAGAGCCTCCAGCATATGGACCAATGTGCGATCTGCTGTGGTCCGACCCCCTGGAGGACTTTGGGAACGAGAAGAGCCAAGAGCATTTCACACACAACACAGTGCGAGGCTGCTCCTACTTCTACAGGTGAGTGTTTTGATCTCTTACGAGAAGGGGCAACAGGAGGTTTTTACTACTTTAGCATTAAGGATTCCAGGTAACAGCTTTGATTTCTGTCTCCCATCAAATACTGCTGCAACGTTTGACCTCATACTCAATGTGTTTTATATTGGAGTATGGAACTAAAAAATTACAAGTGTCTGTTTTTAAAAGCGTGCCTCTTATTTTGAGTTTTGTCCACTCTTGGAAAAATAAAATCGTCCTCTGATTAGTTTGGCTGTCCTCTCCGTCATAGACATTGAAGCGGGTAGCTCTTCAGTAATCATAAAAAAATGATGCAAAAGATTAAAGATACAGAAGGACCATCATCCTGTCAAATTGTTGATAAATTGAGAAACCCTGCTCCCATCACTTTTTTTTGTTTTCAAGCACTGCAATTCCTCCACTGTGAGTGGGAGATTAAGAGTTGTAAGAACATAGCGTGCATTAAAGTAGTCCAAAAGTCCTCCTCCTTAGCCTGTCACCAGTATTTATGTAACCCTCATTGCCTTCTATTGAGCTGAGTAACTGAACAAACGGAGGAAGTGCTCGGAGCAGGCAGCTCACACTGTCACAGAATGTAATGAAGTGGCACATTACCGCGAGGCACAGTCCTGTCTGTGAGAGCGTTCGGCGCTCCCTCCGCTCATTACGGCCTAAGCGACGCTTGCTTGGCCCTGGCGCGCCTCAGGCGAGCCAGCAGAAATAGTCGGAGACGTCCTGAGTTTCCTGATGTGCATTTTCCTTCTTTAATAACAGGTGTTTTATAACTACAGACTTAATTGTATTTTAATGGCTGTGCTTGGGAATGAACTCCCTCTACTGCCGTCGTTGCGGATTTGCGAGGGCATCTTTTGCCCGATTGTCTGTACATATTCTGTAAATGTTTGTGATCCATTACACGGCAGATCAACAGTTTGCCATGGGTTAAAATAATCTTTCTAATGTTGTCATTTTACTGAAGTGACACCAAACAGAAATGCTCATAATGTGATCTCATTATTACCACAAATGACGGATCACATGTCACGTGTTTGTGCCGCACCAGCATCCTGCTTAACCTTCTGTCATTTGGTCCAAATTCCTCTGGAGTCTTGTTTTCATCAGTGTCCACCACTTCGTCTGCCCGGGGAATGCTCGCTAATTGGCATCACACTGGCATTCAGGATTTATGAGACGGTTTAAGCCAGACTGAGAGAGAGCCATTCCTCAACACAACCCCCTTTTAAAAACATCAGCTTCTTTGTTGCTGCTGTCTTGCAGCAACCAATAATTTCCCCCAGCGCCGTGGGCACGCTTGTAACACTTTTACAAACACAAGTCAGGCGTGAAATTGCAAATGTTTTGAGTATAGTCGCTTTCATTTTGGCCCTCGCTCAGCAGCCTGGGTGAACCGGCCTGGAGTAATTTTCTTAACATCTTTCTTTCATCAGTGTAAATCCAAGTTATTGATAAGTACCTTAAAAGCTTAATTTTTCACATACAAAACGCTGCTTAGATTGCACATGATGAAGGCATTTCTTGCAACACTTTGCATGTTGTCCGAGGCGCTCATTAACATCTTTGCCCTCTGGTCGGACAGATGGGAGATGCTCTAAACTCCAAATGCAAAATTGCCCAAAAAAAAAAAAAAACTAGGCCTTAATATATCTCAGGCTCCATATGGCATGTGTCTGCATCTGCTGCAGGAAATCAAGTGAGAAATAAACAATCTAGTCCTCATTTTTACCCCCTTCTAATGGAAAAAAAAAACTCATTGCATTTTTTATTCCCCCCCCCCTTTTTTTTTTTTTTTAATACACATCCCTTCCACCAGATGTTTGTCGTGACTGTCAGGAATGCATGTGTTCTCATGTCTGCACCAACGAGGATTGTTAATGAACCAATCCTGGCTCCTTCAATTTCAGTCTCCTATGAAAGGTTTCACACTATTTGAAATGAAGATAATTTAGCTCTGCAGCAAACATGCTCTCAGATAAGCCTGCATACAAAAAAAACAAGCCAAGTTAATTTGCTTATATAACACTTTATTACAAGCCTGCTCCAAGCACTTTGCATTAAGAGACGCAATAAAGCTGCCATAAGAATGTTCCCTGTATCAATCTTGACCCAAACTCCATACCAGCTTGGCCCAGTCATCCAGAAACCTCAAGAGGGTTTTGTGTTGATTGAAGAGAACAAGAAAAAGCTGTTGTTGTTGTTGTTTTTTTTTGTGTGTTTCCTCATATTTATCAGAAACCAAAATGCAAGTTTGGTTTTGATTGCTGCATGTGGGTGTTGTTTCATTGTTGTGCTCTGATTTCTGCAGGGGCGTTTAGCTTTCATTAAAGGACCTTATACCAAACCATTACCTGTGTTTTGTACAAGCACGGTATACTTCTTCGTTGAACCACAACGACTGTCTCGTGTTTAAAAATGCGTGTTTGTTTATAGACTCTGATTGCACCGTTTTTTGTTTACCTGATAGTCTAACAGATGATATTTCCACTGATTAAACTAATCACCATGACAAAAGTTTGACGTACACATTTTCAGTGACTACACCCCCCCATTGAAATCCACTTTGTTCGAGGCGGTGATCAAAAATATTAATAATTTCTATTAACAACTGATTGACAAACATTTTCTTTAAGAAAAGCTTCTCCTCATGGCTTTTCTTCTTTCTCTCTCGTTATGAACAAAGAAACATTTCTCGTAAAAGCTGGTGTGAGGAGTTAAAGGTTGCACCAGGAAAGCTGTAGTACTGTTATTGGGTAATTGGCTGTGAGCTTTTCTGGTCTCTGTGCGCGCAGACTAAATAGATCAGCGTGAGCATGAAACACACTTGAACACTCCCCAGCGATAGCTGCTTCTTCTTCTTCTTTTTTTTTTTTTCTTCTTGAAGAAACAGTCTGCTGTGAATCATGTGTCATACTTGACTTTTTTTTTTATTTTTTAGTTTCATTCTTTACAAAAATCCACCACTTAAGGAGTGTCACACCTACTCCTCTTTTGGTATGAAAGTGGGTTTAAAAGTACAGAATGAGTCATTTAAAAGCTGCCTATTTAGACATTTGATGAATCTGTTGTTCACATCAGGATATTAGAGCCTCCTTTAACAGCCCCCCCCCCCTTCCATTTATGAACCAGAGTTTATGTTAACATTTAGCCTGAACTCCATATTGTAGATCCTATGTTTTTTTTTCTGAACTCAATCAATAATAGCCATGACTTATTTAGTTATTTCCATTGATCGTTCTTGATTCGACTGAGTTTTTCTTGACGTGTGAGTAAAACCAAATGTTTGTCTCTTTCATTCAACAGCTACCCTGCAGTCTGTGACTTTCTACAACACAATAACTTATTATCTATCATCCGGGCCCATGAAGCGCAGGATGCTGGGTGAGTGTTGTGGCCTTTCGTCTTCTCCCATCACATTGTCACACGGCACAGTGGTTTCAGAGCCAGGTATTAAATGAAAAGCCCTCCCCTCCCCCCTCCCTGGTACACCCTTGGTCTGTGTTGAGCCTGTCTGGAGAGCAGGTTCAGCGCGTACTGAGCTTTGAGGGAAGGCGGGGTGATGAAAATGAATCCAGTGTGGGGAGTTGGTCGGCCAGATGTGATGTGACTAGTCAGATTTTTGTGCAGAATTATTGTTTCACAGTTCATATTTAGTTTATATTCTTAACTTTACATTCAAGCACATGTAGTCTCAAACGACCTAACTCATCTTGTGTTCATGAGGAACAAAGAGTGATTTCTGGATCTTCAACAGAGGCGTTGCAAAAGCTTCTTTTGAAAACATATTTTTATTTTGAGGGCAGGTGGCTGGATCTGTCAGGCTGATCACCTCTAAGGGAGGTTGAGGCGGTGGGATGCATAGCATACAGTTGTTTATCACTGCACACCCACAGCGTGGTCACACGGGACACCTCGCCACGTCTCAGATGAGGTTGCTGCCCCAAGCCGCCTTGAACCACACAAAGTAATAATGTTAGAGTTTCACCTCTGTTTCCTTTTTTTTTTTTTTTTTCAAATTTCTACAAATAGTTGCTGCAAGGTGTGGTGTGGCAAATAAATCATCTGTGTCAGTACTGTTTACTGAAAGCTCTTATTTCATTCCAAGCATCCAAACCAACAAACACAGCGCAGCCGCTCGCAGTGAGATCACAGTAGTTTGACTTGAATGTGGAGTTGGTTCAGTGAGATGACTCTGGAGGGCATGTTTCACCTGTAACACAGGGATTTACTCTCCTGAGGCTGCCAGACAAACAGCCATAGTGAAAACAAGAGGCCATAAAAACTGTCACTGCTAATCATTTCCCGAGGGCCAAACACCAATGATTAATGTATGAATGTAATGTTTACTGATGCTTACATCTCTTTTTTTTGGATATTTACCAGATACCGCATGTACAGAAAGAGTCAGACCACTGGCTTCCCATCTCTTATCACCATCTTCTCAGCACCCAACTACCTAGATGTCTACAACAACAAAGGTAAGGAGAAGGAATAATTCAGGTTTCATTTAAGGGAAGCATCAGGATGTTCCAAGATGTTCTCTTTTATGTCTTAAACCTCAGATGTCATCAAAGTCTTACAAATGGCTGTTGAGGTTGTTGATCTGCCACACGCTGACTTCATCTCCTTGTCGTTGTGCACGAGGGCAATCAGCAAACACATATTAAAGTTTGTTTTGCGGTTATTATGAGGGAGAAATCCACCCAAAAAAATAATAATAAGCTGGAAGTAACAGAAAGTTTCACAGAGCTGCAGACTGGAAGGTTCATTCTTTTTTTGGACCGGTTGGGTAACCTTTAACAACGTCCTTTCACAGTTCAGAAGAGCTTTGCTTTTCAGATGTTTTAACAATATTTCATAACGGAGCTTTAAAGTGCCTTTTAAAAAGGATGAACAGAAAACATTTAGCTGTTTTCACACCATGCTTAGGGATTAAAAATGAACATGTCCCTTTTGGCTTACACTCGCACTTTATTAACACTATTTCATGTATAATATGAAAAACAGTGCAGCCTGTCTTCACAAAGGCACTCTTAAAAAAGCGACTATTTATCTCAACAAGCTTTTTCCTGGGTTAATAAAAACGTTTTAGAATAAATTTAAAAAATGATAACAAGTAACACTATATTTCCAATGAACTATTATGGTATTTAAATGGTATTAAGGAGTGCCAAACTCAACTTTCACAGTGCACACAGCTTTTGGAGCGCCTCTCCCTCATAGTATAGAAATATTTTGGTTCAAGTTTTTAGGGTTGTTTCATGACAAAACTCTCTGACACTGATTCTGGTCAGGTCAGTTCAGGGATGTAGCTGGACATGAAGTGGCTGGGCGGGGGTTCACTTGGCACCTAGTGGTGCCCAATGCGGCGCTACGTTGCCCACGCAGCAAGATAGGCTTGCCTTTGTGCTGTGAGTCAGCACTTTTCCCCTGGAGAACAGACAGTATCTGACTTGGCTGTGGGGGCATGTTGTGGATGGGGGCGGCGATGGGCAAACCACAGGAAATGGAAATGGGAAGGAAAGAGCGATGGTGCTGCTGGTGCATGCTGTTTTGTAATTCCTGTCATGATGAAATGCCATAACAGAGCTGTGTACTGCAGTGCTGCTGGTGTGAGTGTAGTACACAAGGGAAACATGGCTCTCTTTTTTTTTCCACGTGTGTTCCCTTGATCTCAGATATTAGGATCTTTTTGTTTACTATTTTCCTCAGGAGCTGCTTCCATGCCTTGCTTCCTGCACAGTCGGGAGAGTTGAGGGCGGATGGGGGTGCAGCCTGACAGTTTGCATGCCTGGTGTGTTGTTTATTATTAGGACCCCATTCGTTCCATGCCAACTAATCTTCCCAGGGCTCACAGTCAACCCAGCACACAATAAAAACAGACAAGCAAACATATTGATGTCAAGGGCCTGTTGTTTTTTTGTTTTTTTAACTTTTGGCAACCATTTGCCTGGCAAATCATTTGCACCTCCAGAGCTCAATATGGGATAGTCGAAGTATCTAAAATGATTCAGTCCGCACCCTGGTCTTACCTGAAGCTGGCTGACCTTCTGTTGATAAAATGCCTCTGAGAGCGAGCGAGTGTGGTTATCAGAAAGAAAATTATTACTCTGTTTATAGAACCGACTTCATTTAGGAACACAGGTGTATCTTACCACGGGGGATGGCAGGTTCTTTATTTCTCCCGTCATTCGCCGTCTGCTTGAAAGTGAGACACACTTTTATCCTCAGCTTAATGTGTTTGAAGTCAGATTTTTGGCTTAGAATACAAATATAATTGCAGAAGAGAGGGAGAGAGAGCTCTTCCCAAGCAAATAAACATCCCTCGAGCTTAAGGTCTTGCCAGAGATTTGATGTTAGAGCTCTTAAAACTTGCGGTTATGTAATTGCATAGTTGCACCTTCACATTATCAATCGTTTACTTAGCAGATGTATTTTCCCCACAGCGGCGCCACGATTTCATGAATCAGGCACAGCTAACCAATACCGTCTTATCAGTCCTGTTGATGCTCTTCTCATCAGTTATGTGGGTGGGGTTCACTGGGAGACCCAAAGCCTCTATAATGAATTGGTCTGCTCTTTGCTTTCTTGCCGGAGCTCGGAGCCCACTGAGCATGTTCTGTGATTGATGGCCAATCGAGCGGGCACATAAATCTTAAAGGCGGAGGGAGGAGGCATCTGCAGGTCCCATCAATACAGCGCTGGGAGTTGGCCAGATTAACCAATGAAACCTCTCCACATGGGGGGGGGGGAATTGTTGAGAGACGGGCACTTCCAGTCGGAGAGGAGGAGGCGGAGGATATCTATGAGGTACCAGAGGCGGGCGAGGGAAAAAAATTTGAGTCGTAGCTGAGTCAGGAACGATGTGATTCTAAAAAGATAAAAAATCCAGCCTTTAGATGCCGTCCATCACTCGTTTTCCTTGCAAGTCAAACTGTTGGCTTTGCAATACGTGTCAGGCGCTGACCAGCTGTCCATCAACGCTCTGACCCCTGCACCCCCCCCCGAGCTGACAGTGGAGCTGCGTTAAATGAAAACACAGCAGCGGTGATGTAGCACTTTTGAGCGCTCACAGTTTGGAGAGATGGAGTTGGAGGTGTAGCTGGCAGTTGAACACTTTGGAGATTGCTTGCGGTTTCACATTAATGGAATGTTTTCTGCTGCATCGTTATTGACTGGTCTCGAAAGCCAAAGACTGAATCCAAATGGTCGTGCTGCTTGGATGGGAAAAAAAATGCTAAATGACACGTAGCTGCCCACCTTTTTGACGCTGATTTTTTTATTACACCCCCGAGACAGTGAAGGACATGGTGGTTAGATCCATCTCACACCTGTTAAACCTTACATAACCATGATAACCTCTCCATCTCCTCTCTAGTTTTACAGTTTCATGACGATGTAGAAACAGGAATGGACTTTTAGAGAGGAAACTTAAACGATAATGTGAACAATGTTTTCCTGAAGAATCCATCTGGTTCATTTTCCAGTCAAACTGGACAGCGTTTCCTTTTTTTTTTTTTTTTTTTACATTATTTCCTGCCTTGGTCATGTGCTGATTGGTTGGTGAGTAGCCGACATGTGTGATCTGAAGGAGTGAAATGCAGTGGTATGATTGGCTCCTGGCTCTGCCACTGGAATAAATAGCAGGATGGAAGCTGGGGCAGTGATGACGACAGCACAGCAGGGATTTCATGTTTCCCACCTCTTGTCACAAGTGCCAGCGAGAAGCGTTCCCCCGTCTGCAGATGCCCACCCATCTGTTATCACTCTGATCATTACTGGGCTTTCCTTCACTTTCCTGTAAACAAGATTCGGTTACAGAACTTTTCAGGCCGCACCAAAACAAGAAAAATGGACTGTGTAATGTCGTACTGGGAAGGCCCTTCTGGTTCCATTCCAACAAGTCTAAGTCTTATAAAACAGAGTTCTGGTGAGATCTACTCACCATATGGTTTAGTAAGAAAACTTCTCAAGATACTTCATATTGAGATGTATTCATAACAACTGAGCAGACCTGATGTTAAAATATCCAGAAATCACTAAATGAACCTTGAATAGGCTTTTTTCAGATCATCATAAGTTAAAGTTAAAAACAACCTTCAGGATGGTTTTAATTTCCAACAGTTTTTTTTTTTTTAATCAGGGGTCTCCTTCAACCATTGAATTAGACCATGAAATCCGGTTGAAAGTTCAAGAAAATATAGACAGGGCACAACCTTCAACATATTTTAGACCAATTACATAGATAGTAAGCGATGCTTAAGTGTTTTCTTTTCTTCATGACTCAAATATTTGAAGTCAGAAAGTATTTCTGTTCTCCGGCATGACCATTCAATGTGGTTTTAAGCCCGAGAGCAAGTGGCCTTTTTTGAGTCATAGATTTCTAGTGAAATGAAAATGATTTGAATAAAAAAAGGACCTGTACGGGTGCTGACTCATTACTTTATTAAGCAACAATTAATGAAAAATCATTCATGCAGTGTTCCACTGTACAAGTACATTCAGTTCCAACCAACAACAAGTCTGACATCTAATGGAAGTCAAGGGCTCTATGAAATGGACAGAGGAGGTCTCAACGCTTTTAATGGAATACTAATCCATTGGAACTTGATACGAGAGGCCTTAGAGACAGATATGCAGTCGGCTTTAAGCAACAGGACAGGACAGTGGGAATCTCCCCCCTGATCTCATAGCAGATTTAACAGCCCTCGTTACCGGGGAAACCGGCTCAAGGCACTCCCTTATAAATAATTAATGAGCGGGCGTAGCCTCACAATATCTGTGTTACCGTGGCAGCAGGATTGGCCTCAGCTACCCTGTTAGGCAGCACCAGAGCTGCAGAGACATCTAGTGGCTGTCATGCAGTGTTAGATTTAACAGAGGACTTTAATACAGATCTCACAGCTGGTCACCACGAGAGCTGTGCCCTCCTGCTGTATGAGGAATAACTTTGCATATAATTGTGCATTCAAACAGTAGTAATGCGTGTTCTTTTCATTAGGGCAGCAAAATGCTTCTCCTGTAACCTCATATCTGCAGGTTAAATCCCATATCCACCCCCCCCCCCCCCCCAAAAAAAAAAAGAAAGAAAGTGGGCCGTGACCTGCTCGTACCTAGAACACGATGATCGTGTTTTGTTTTGTACGGGGGAGGTTGCCGGGTGTCTGTTCCTTTAAAGGGAATCCGAATTGAAGGAGCGACGGCAGGGGAGCTGACCTTCTCCCCCGCTCTGCCTTTTTTATCCCCTCCGGGCCTCCATGGCTGCATTCAATCAAGTGCCTCGACCATGTTTATGCAGTATGTGATGTTTATGCAAAGGCTGCCCACGCGTGCGACTGCTTTCATGCTCACACACACACACCACACACACACACACACGCATAAACACCCCCAGCCCCGTCTGAGTGGAGTGTGTCAGAGGAAGGCAGTGCTTTGCTTATTGGAATGGGTTGTAACGTTTCTGATATCGATAATAATGCCACAGGAATTATAAAGTGTACAGATTCTCCTCTGTTATTTCAGAGAATATGTGTGTGCTTATGTGCAGCCTTGGATACGATAGTGATGGCAGTGGAATTTAATGCTTTGCCATACTTGAGGGACCACTTTGATTGCATAGTTACTGCACTATATATATTACCATGCCTCATTGATTACACACACACACACACACTGAGGAAAGCCCCGGCCTAGCAGGATGTTTTCTGACCCCATTTGTGTCGCGACTGAGGTTACAGCTGCTTTGGATGCCAGGTTTGATGACTTGCTATTCCTGACCCCCGAGAGAGGCCGAGGCAGGAAAGTCTCCCCATGGTGACCCAGCCCAGGTGTCCGCTTTCCCCAAATCTGGGCCATCAGTCTGGCCTGGCTCGTGAAAGAGAGAGGGCGTCTATATATACAGCAGGGATATATTTATGTTTGGCAGCTCTCGTGTTTTCTTCAGCACCCACACTGTCTCTTAAGCATGGGAGAGGTCACATGGTGCATTCTGTGGTCAGTGATTGGGAGGTGGCTTCTATGTCAGTGGCACACAGATATTATGATTAAGATAAGACATTCATTACACGGTTTTTATTTATTATATTTCCTATTACATTAAATTGTTTTGTGAAAATACGCTCAGTGTAACATTTAAAAACTGAAATTCATGCCGTTAATTACAGTTATCGTTGCTCTGCGGCCTCAGAGTTTTGACAGTAAATTCAGAATTCTAGTGAATTGTCCGAATTCTGAGAAAAACGTCGGTGGTCGGGGTAATAAACTCTGTGGCCTTAATCCTCCTCTGTCCATTTTTGAGATATTTTTAGCATTAACTCGTTATCCCCTTTCTCAAGAAACGTAACACATTCATATACTGGAGTGCAGCGAGTCATAGTTCAGTCATGTACCCGACTGTTTAATAGACTCTTGCTTGTTTTGTCAACATAAGGAGCCAGGGGACATTTAAGAAGGTCACAAGTAGCCAGCTAGTCCTTATGCTAAGCTAACTGGCCTCTTGTTTAGCATTAAAATGATATCTCCTGTAAGTCTTGCGAGAAAGCAACTAAGCCCATTTCTCTCAATTTCTAACTAATAACTTAGAGCTTCTTTTGGCGATGGATTGTGAAAGCAATGCACGCTGTAAATGTTGATGAGTTAAATCAAAAAGGAACACTTTGATGGTGATGTCAGTAGGAATACGCAGTTGTTTCTCATGGTTGAATTCTGAGCACCACAGTATGATCATCATCCAGAGTCCATCGCTATCATTACCTCAGCTTCCTGTCTCTGGCTCCTCTCTCCGTCCCTCCTCACCAGAAATTGATGGTTTTCTGTTAACTAATGAAAATTGCCCCGGCTGCATGGAGCCCAAATGCTGAGCCATGTGTTTCTGTGATGACAGACATGTTTCACCCTGTGGGGGCGGTAATCAATACGCAGAGGAAATGTTCCGGAGAGGGGGAAAAGGGACATTGATTTTTTTTTTTTCGAGCTACCATCATTTAGATGCTTGGGCAGTTTGTACAGCATTTTGCAAATCTTCCTATTTATCAGCCGTCCTGTCAGAGGGAAAGATTGACGGATTCTGATGTCAATACATCATCTTGTGGAAGGTAGTTTTGCCAGATTCTCTATTCGCTGTCATGAAGCAGAGGTTGACTGACAGTGTCTGATAAAAAATGATGTGTTAAATCCAGGCCACAGTTCAGTCTAGGTGTTTCTTTTTGCTGCGTTTTGGACAAAACAAATTCTCGACTGTTTTACGGCCAATTGGAGACCTGAAGTAACTGGCAATTTCATTTGTCGCAAGTCTGCGCAGCACCTGCAGCTAATGAGTCATTAACCAGGCAAGGTAAACAACAAGAAGAGCCAGAAAAAAAGACATTTTGGTTAATCTGTTGAGAACGGTTATATTCAAGACTTTAAAGACACAATGCTTCATAAGCCACCTGTAAAACTGTATTTTTAAAAGTAAGTGTTTTGTTATCTTTTTTTTTAATGTGAACTCTGATTGCTCCTTCTTCAGATTGTCCATCAATCACTCTTGTTTTTCCTGGCACATAACGCTGAGTACTTTGTGGTCACTCTCCATGATAGCTGGATGGAGTGCCGGTGCCGGCTGCTGAAGCCGCACAGTACTCCTGAGTGGTGGTTGGGAACAGGATGGGGGCTGTAATGGGCCTGGACCTCAACGAGGATCTGATGTTCTTTTGTAGTCTGATCATGGTTGGATAGTTGTGTGCAATCTGAAACTTTTAAGGAGGAAAATAGAGACGTCATAATGTTCGGCTTGTGTTGTATATTCTAAACATACATAGCCATTTGCAGAATCAGTCAACACAGGGATTTGTTGCACATTAAAGGAGAAGAAGTAGAATAGTTTGAGTTCTCCTTGAGGGGATTCTGGATGTTGACAGACAAAAAAACTGAAGATGTCAGACCATAATCCATCCTTTGTGTCCAGAGACCATAGAGAAAGCAAATCCCGTTATTAAACTTTACACATTTTGGCACATTTTAACAACCACCTGCCTCCCTGCCTTGTCTCTCCCCCCCCCCCCCACAGCGGCAGTGCTGAAGTACGAGAACAACGTGATGAACATCCGACAGTTCAACTGCTCACCTCACCCTTACTGGCTGCCCAACTTCATGGACGTCTTCACCTGGTCCCTGCCCTTCGTCGGAGAGAAGGGTGAGCATGAATACACACATAACACACCCTGTGAGAAAACAAAAACAAAGTGTGGGCATTGACAGGTCTCCCAGATGTTCGCTCCAAAACGTTGAAATGAACACTGAGTTTCCAGAGTCAGTAATAAAAATACACACAGATAAATGTAGTCAGTTAGAGTTCATATTTAAAATACTTACAACACTTGATTTATTAGCTAATAAAATGCAAACCAGGCAAAGATACGTCATGAGTTCAACATGCTGGGGGGTCTATTTTCTGAAGTTAGCATTATCTTAAGATTATCCAGGCATTTGACTTTGTTAAGTTCACTGACCCCCCTCCCCCACCCCCCTCCTGTTATAACTGTGACACATCTGTGTCAGTAAATCACACATAGCTATGACTGACACACTCAGTCCAGGAAGCCCTTCTTGGGTGTGACCCTTCGGCACGGGGCAATACCTCACAATGTTGCAAGGTTAATGACGGACACAGTTTACAGGGCGTGTGCAGGGAGGTCACTCGAGTGCATTCTTGTCAGTCTAACTAGCACAACATGACCGTCTGACTTTTAGGACAGCTTGCCACATTCCATACTTGTTGAAAACTTATACTATATATAACTTGAATGTAAAAAAAAATAAATGAAATATATATTCTTATTTCTTTATAGTGACTGAAATGCTCGTGAACGTTTTGAGCATCTGCTCCAACGATGAGCTGACGACTGACGAGGAGCTGGACGGTAAGCAAACCTTTCCAGTTTTCACTGCAGCGAGCCTCCACTAGAGGGAGACCTCTGCTAAAGGGGAACCACATAGACACTCACTGCTCAATCTGATACACATTTGGTTTATTCTATGTTGTTTTTGTTTTTTTTAAATGTCATGCCACTCTTTTTTTTAAATAAACACTTTTTAGCATTCTTCAACATGTTCAATCCAGTGAATCCAGAAGCTGTTTACACTTGACAAAGTTCAATCAACTAATCATCCTTGGGGGTTTTATTTTGTCTTTGAGGTTTGAAAATACTTCTTTTAGAAAACCTGGTGTCCTTGTAAAATCAGAATAATTGAAAGGCATCACTAAGAGACAGAAAGGTCAGCACACTAAATGTCTTCAAGTTTCCTTTATCTGGGTAAGAGAAACATACAAAACAACAACACTAGGCCTTTATCAGCGTTGATATCTAATATCACTAGATGGCTCTGTAGTCCCCGTCCTCCTGGGCTCAATCAGCTTTTAGTCAGACAGGATTTATGACTTTTATCATCATATAACAGTAGAAAGTTCAAAGTACACAGTCATCTGTGTGATCCTCGGTCACAGTGTATCGACGATGAGATGACCAGTTTCCCCTCTTCCTGCCCGACCAAACAGGAAACGATCTCATCACATCCCCCCCACCCCCCGCCTGCTTCTCTCTTTGTGTTTACTGACGCACAGATTTTTAATCTGTAAACAACATCCAAGGGTGGAGTTTCAGGATATCACCAGATTCTAACCTTTTTTACATAAAAATGCATCTGAAATACCAAAAGTATATAAAAAAGGACAAGAAAAGGGGAAATTTGCACAACTAACATATTGATTTGACTAGTTTTTAAAGAATAAGTCATGTTGTGTGTGCAGAGGTAATTGTAGTTTTACTCCACAGCCCATCATTTTCAATTCATCATACACAACTGATGTTCAATCTGAATATGAAGGAGTGGTAAACAACTTTTAAAAAGTGCGATCTGGGTGCGCGCCCCATGTGCAGGGGCTGTAGTCCTGAGGCTGGACGCCCCGGGTTCTGGGCCCAGCTACAAGAACGACAGAAACTTCAAACATTAAACTTGAACTAGAAACGTGTTGGACAGCCCTCTGAGATTTACTTGGTGGCTGTTTATTTCAGACCCTGATTTTCCTTCATTCTACTAAATTCATATTGATTGGACTGTGGCTAAAATCATTCACTGGTCATTTCCTCAAATAATCCATCGTCCTCTAACATCTCTTCATTCTGCACCGACATTGATCATGTTCACGATTCTTTGCCTCATTCTAACGTTTCTGTTTCCTTCTAAGCTCATTTCTTTTCTTCTATATCTTTCTTTTTTTCACAACCTTTTCCTTCATCTTTCTCACTCATCGTCTCATCATTTACAATCCTTTTGGTTGCCTTTCTCTTTATCTGCTGTTGTTTCCATGGTTTCCAATTTCTGTGATGTTGATATTTCCAACCTCAAATCCACAGATTTCGTTTGCATTATCTTCTCTCTCTCTCTCTCTCTCACACACTCGTGTCGTGCTGTCCTCACTACCTTGGTTTGTCTCATCTAATTTCTTTTTTTTTCTGTTTTCCAGAGTTTTGTGTTGAGGGCATCGCTTTTCTTTTTCACTTGCTGTGCTCTCTCGCTTCTTACTTCACTGTCCGCCTCCTTTCTGCCACCTCCTCTTTCATTTTACAGCCATCCAATCATCTCTCTTTTCCTTTCTTTTGTCTTCTCTTCTGGGGGTGTTACATGAGAAGGACAGCTAATATATCCCCCCAAAAAAGGTACACATAATAGCAGCACGGGTGTGCAGAGATAGATTTGCTTGCTTTCTGGGTTTTCCGCTAACGTCACTGTTTAACACTTTCTAACTATACTAATGAGTCTTTTACAAACTTGTTTTATCTGTAAACATGAAGATTTGATTTATTCATTGACTGTCATACTTGTTTTAAGGTTTTCCCTGCACACACTGAATGAGAAATGCTACGACAGGGACACATCCTGTGCCAAATGTATTTGAATTTACTAATGGAGTACTCAACTGAGAGCGATAGGAAGTCTTCAACTTGACACCAGACTGTCAGCTCCTACCTCTCCCAAGCCTTTCACCACACATCAGCTTCATTTCCATCCTTCATACTCACACATTTTCCAAGCCGGCTCCCTCGAGGCCCTGAAACCGTTATCCCCCAACAAGGGTTTTCCTTTTAAACATACCGTTTTGTTTTCCAGTCCTGGAAAAAAAAAAAAAAAAAAATCCTGCTAAATCTCTACAACCAAACACAGCTAAGAAAAACACATATAGTGTGCTTACTGAACATGCTGAAAAGACAAGTTTGGACAAGGAGCAGGCCACTTACAGATGACGTAACATGGTTTTAAAGATACATGAACTACTGCTTCACTACAGAGAGGCAGCATGAATACAGTGAATACCTAAGAGTTACTGAGTGGTCGTGACCTGTGGGTGGATTTAAATGACTCAGTTTGATCTGAAATCCAGGCTTCAATAACCACATTGTGTTTGCATTGTGTTGGTCTGACGCACTACTGGATACAACTAATAGTCCAGAAGACTGGCCCTGTGTCTCAGCACTTTCACTTAAGTTAATGAGAAGGCATGTAGTGATTACAAAAAAAACACACAGTCTGGTTTGCACCTCTACAGCACAAGGTAAAGTATGTGTGAGTTACGATTGTACCATTGTATGACCGTGTCCAACTTCTGACCCTTCCAGGTGCCACAGCTTCTGCCCGCAAGGAAGTCATACGCAACAAGATCCGTGCCATTGGCAAGATGGCCAGAGTATTTTCTGTGCTGAGGTATGCAGATGTGGAGAACACAAACTCCCTTGTGTTGGTGTTGTAGCATTACCCCGCTACTTCCTGCTGAAGTGATATTTAAAGCTGCACTTGTTGATGTTTTTATAGTTAACAACTGGTCAAAGACATTCAAACGAAACAAGAAGCTTCTGTGTTTTTTTTTTGTTTTTGTTTTTTTGAATTTGAAATCACGTGTTGTTGTTTCAGAGAGGAGAGTGAGAGCGTGTTGACGCTGAAGGGCCTGACCCCGACAGGCATGCTACCAAGCGGAGTGCTGTCCGGTGGCAAAGAGAAGCTGCAGAATGGTAAGACCGTCACAGAGTACCCCGAGACCCCCTCCCCACCCCCCCACCCCACCCCCACCCCACCCCCCAAGAACGGAGTCTCACACACATAAAATCCCCCTTACACAGCGAAACCCTGAATAAAGTGCTAGCTCGGTGTAAAGAAGACACTGTATACATAGACTCTTCCCCTCTCCCCTCAGTGATGGCCCTGGAGTTTAAAAGTGCTGCCTCAGAGTCAAACTCTTAAGTGTACTTAAATCTTTTTGGCAGCTTCAGTCAGTCAGTATCCCTGTGGTGAAATTCTCCTAAATCATAACAGCTGCTCTATGAAGCCTCTTTCAACTCTAATGTGTGTCACTGTAGTAATTTTCCATGGAGTAAATGACTAGTTCTATTTCCTACACACAACTCCCTTTCTAGACAATATCAGATTTTCTTTGTCCCTCGTCTCCTCGAATGTCTCCCTCCTGATGTCTCGCATTAATACCCTGTCTCCCCATCCCCGTCTCTTCCTGTATTCCACTGGTTTTATCTCAAATATTACCTGTATCTTTTCTTTCTCCTTTCTCCCTAGAAACTGCAGGTATAATCGGTTGTGCAAGTATTCTGTTGTGTTATTTTTGATTTATTTTTTCCTTTTTCATTTTTGTGAGACAAGTTTAGAGTTCAGTTCACCCTCCTCTGTTGAATTCCAAACACTCCCTAAATAAGTCTTGACAAGCTGCTGCAACCAGGATGTTAAGACTTTCTGGAAAACGCCTTTAACAAAACAATTTCAATTTACTCGGACTCTTGAAAGAAATGGCCGCTTTGTCGTCCATTCGTGCGCCAGCTGTTATTCTCAGCAGTGCTCTGTCAGGATAGAGACAGGGTCCTCTGTGATTCAAAGGATGAATTGGAATTGACACAACCAGCTGTGAATAAAAGGGGCATAGCTGCAGTCTGCCCTTTCATTCACAAAGTAAAGCAGAAATCCAGACAAGCTTCTCTCTCCTCTCACAAGTTCTCTCACAATATCAGCTAGCATGAAACTCAAACCCAACGTTCAGATTGTACCTCTTTTACTCTGAAGCAGGCACATCCATCATTTGTAAACAGCAAACGCTTAAATGAGAGTATGAGCATGATACCGTGTCTTGCAGAATACAGAAACATCACAAGTCATAAAGTCAGCAAATTGTCTTTCAGAAAAGATATAACTACCTAGAGCGTCATAAAATGAGCTACTACAGCTGCTGCAAATACCAGACTTAGTTAGGCTGTCGCAACAAAACCACACCAAGAGTGTTTTATGAGTTTATTTTATGACACAATTATATTTTGGATGAATTGGCAGTTGATTGGAGCTGTCACATATAACAGACTTCTGGTTGGGTTCTGCATATGTTTGTTTTCTTGACCTTCCTCGGGAAGTGGAGTAAATAAAGTAGACTTAAATGAATGTTAAAGACGGGGGGATGGGGGGTACTGTAGAATATTTTAACAACCAGGAGTGCATTAAGAAGAAGAGACACCCCTCACATTCATATAATAAATCATACCCAATGAAGAGTAGAAACAATGAAGCCATTTGGGCGCAGCTGATACTACAGAGAGCTCCAGTGGAAGTAGAGGGATGTTCAGAGATTCCTGCTGCGACATTGGTAGAATCAGCTTGTGCTCCGCCTTTACGCAGACGACACAGTGCTTCTACTACAATGTCGACTCCATCAAGCCATTCTGTCTTAAAGTTGATTACTTTTGTGCCTTTTATTTGAACCCTTCCACATCATCATGACGGTGTGCTGCGTAGTCTGTAGTACTGTTTAAGCTGTTCCTCTGCCATCACCCTCTGCCTCATCCCTGTCTTTGTGTAGAGCTGAATTACACACTTGTACTCCATGTTGATTTCATTTTTTTGTAACTCAAGGATGACTGTAAAAAAATAAAATTGGTAAGTGGTTCAAACCAAAGGTGTCCACCCCGTCCCCTCACACTTCACAAACGTAAGCCAGCACTTTTGATATTTCATATCAAAAGGTGTTCACTCTGCAGTTCCAGATGCTGCTTCATGCTGCACACCTACACACCTGTAACGCTGCTCCATGTGTCGAAAGCGCTTCGATTTGACATTAACAACTAAGCAATGAAGGCAGTCACAAAGTGGCACTTTGAACGTTTCCCTGTTCTCCATTCTTTCAACTCCTCTCTCTCCATGTATGTGTGTAGTTGCGTAACGATAGCACTAATATACTTCCAGCTTTATCTGCTATCACTGTTGGTCCCTGCAGTATCCATTATTTCTATCACCACATTGATTCCCTGTCAGACTTTTTCAAAGTACCTTTAAGATGCGATCCTCTCCATGAGGTCACTCTCTGCCACAAACATTTCTCGCCTTCCCTTTACAGATCTGGAACTCATCAAAAAGCTAAGGCTCATCCCTCTCCTCTTCCTCTTTTTCTCCCCTTCTTTGCTAACATCCATGTGTCTTTGATCATAAAATGTGGAGTTGAAGTTAACCTTTGTTGTCGGCATTGGCTGTCTTTGCTGCTCATTGACTTGTTCCTGGGACAAAATGAACTCCTCTGCTCACTTCTCTCATTCGTTTTGCAACCCCCCTCTTCTTCTCTTCAGCTACTATTGAAGCTATTGAGGCTGACGAAGGTAAATGGGTCTGGCTGCCCTCTTCTGTTGCTTTTCATGGCAATAGACAAGGGGGGTCCGCTGGGTTTTTTTTTTTTTTTTTTTTCTTCATCCATCTCGCTGGTGCTTGAATAGAGTGTGTTGGGTGTTTGGGCTAACAAAATGTGGCATAGTATTAACGGAGGGAAAAAAAAAAAAGAAGTAAGTAATTAGGAAATCCTGTGGTCACACAAGTTTTAAAGGGGAAGGGATTTCATAGCACAGATTTCAAAATCACAGAGAGCAGACTGTGATTTAAAGTGAGTGCAAAGCAAATCCTTCAAGTCATTCTCATGAAGACTGCAGCTTATTACAAGCTCAGAATAAAAAAAGAATATTTTAGCTCCACAAATTTTATTTATTTTAGCTTTAACTTTAATTTTAATGTTGCAGTGACATGTTTAGAAAGATCTGTATTCCTGCTTTCTGATGAAAAATGATCAGGACATACAATGTAAGAGGTGTAAATACAAGGCCGTCGTCAGGTCATCAACATTTATAAACAGGGGCATGTAAGTATTCATTTTATTGTCGTAAACTGCCTCAGAAATCAGATATTGGTCGAGCTACAGTAACCAGACGTTCACAGGCCTCTCTAGATCTTCAAACATAAATTTTTGATCAAGTCACAGAGTTTGTGGTAGGTTACACTTTAGCTATATAAAGAACAAGTGTTTGATTGAAAACACTCAACATTGAAATGTCACTGAGGTGTAACTCTTACCACATGAGATACCCCCCCCCTGCTCTGCCCTCACAACCCAGTGAAATCTTGCTATGAAAGATAAAAAATAGTATTTCCCCTTTGAAACGGCTGAAGCAGTTGTGCATTGTTGTTGCTGTTGTGTAAATAAAACAATAACACGGCTTTCTTTAGAGTTGAATCCAAATTAGAAGAGAGAAATGCTCCACAGGAGGCTTTGAAATCCAAATCGGAGTCTCCCTAAAACCTTCTCTTTTTTTTTTTGTATTCATACTACCCCCCTTTGGCGCAAGAACAACCTCAACTGCGAGCTAAATAGTAGTCTGCCAGCTGCTATTTACGTTGGAATTGTGCAGTACTTCCTCTTTATCCCCCCACAGAGGACAGTCCGTTGTAGTGTCGAGACACTTCTCTGCTTCTCTCTCTCCATGTGGATCCTCTGTGGCCCTGCCGTGTCGTGTTCTTTCCTGTGAGCTGCTAATAACCTGTCTGACCTGTGCTATGCAGCAACACAACTACGCTACCCATCATGCCCCACACTCCACATTCCCCCCCCGCCAAATTGTCCTAAAAAAAAAAAATAATGCCCCCTTGGCTCATTTAGTAAAGGGTCATCTTTGCAATCATAGTTTATATCACCATTAAGACCCCCAGCCTTTATGAAAGGTGGAGGTGACAAAATGTAAACTTTACACAGTTCAAAGTGGACTGAAATGAATTCAGATCAAGCTGAACATTAAAATAAAAAGACCTACAATTGAATCAAAAATAAAAATAAATAGTGTTAAGTTTATGAAATGATGCTTTTGTATCAGATCAGCCTGATTTCATTCATTTCAAGGTATTTAAATGAAACAGCTTTCCAGCTAATCCAAAATTCCCTCCAGTCTGAATGACATTGTGACCTCCGCCCCTCATAACTTCCAGTGAACCCTTAATTGCTGCATGCTCCAAGCAGACTAAACAAGTCGTTAGCACCCCAAGTACCTCTGTAGTGTCTTTGTACGTGAGCTCAGTCTCAACGTGGTCCTCTTTGTGGAAGTGAATGTCTCAGTGGGCTCCACTCCAGTGTTTCCCTTTTCTATCCCCTCCTTCTTCTTTGGTCTCTTTTGATCGTTCTTCCTTCTCCCCCTTTTTGTCGTTTTTTTTTTCTTTTTTTCAATGTTTTTTTTCTTATCTGTGACGTGACGGGACGATCTGGATTTTTCGGGGTCTTCAGATGTTCTTGAACGTGCCTGAATAGAAAAAAAAACATGCACCGTCCACTTACATTTATTTTATGTAGAGTGCATACAACGATTTAAATCTGAAAAAAACAAAAAAAAACGAGATGGTCCAGCATTGTAGACGGACGTCAGCAGATATGATCAATGATGGATTGATCGCACAGTGAAAACCTGTTGACCCTGATGTTCAGACGTCCCCACTTTAGATCTAGAAGGATTATTTCATCCTTTGTCTGTGCAGTTCTATCATTTTACAACGTTGACAAATGGTGTTAATGTGTTGTCATTTCATGGAAAGTAGTTCTTTTATACTTATTGTTTATCTGTTACTGTATAACTAAACTTCATGATGATCCATGTGTTAAAACACTATCAAACATATTCTGTTGTGCATTAAAGACTAAACACATTTATCAATGGTTTAAGACAGAATTTTAGGGAATATTATACATTTTTAAGTTTTAAGTTCATGTTGGGAAAGAAGCTGCGTCGCTTGAATTTTTTAGTTAGCGTGGCAAAGCGAACATTATTGACTGAGAATTTATACCACACAGTATCTTTATTTCAGTCATGTCATTAGTCTTTACTGGTTTAACAAACATAATTCATTAAAACTCGTCAACTCATGAGATGTTAGCAGGCAGTTTATTAGCTCAAAGAGATGTAAGCTAGCTGTTTGACCATGCTGTCACTATTTGAGGCAAGGCAAGCCGACTCATCCGACCCCATGTTTGAGAGAAAGGAATATTCTTCTCTAAAGGATTCAAGGATTCTTTGACACTTATTTCTTCAGGGATCTGCATCACGCAGTTATCGTTAGTGTTAGCATGCTCTGCAGTCACACTTCCTCATGGATTTCCTTCCAGTGAATGAGCTAAAAGTACCTCAGATGCAGCCTTTACTTGTTGTTTTCTCGGAAAACAAAGCAAAAGATAACGACGTCTGGTGATGTGTGGCTGAATGTGAGAAAGTGTGACCCCATTCTTTGAATCATTTAATCCTGCCCCTGGAATATCAAACCTTATTTCTCTCCCCCTTTTTCCCTTTTTTTTTTTTTTTTTCTTGCACCAACAGCCATCAAAGGCTTCTCGCCCCAGCACAAGATCACGAGCTTTGCGGAAGCAAAGGGCCTGGATCGCATCAACGAGAGGATGCCGCCGCGGCGAGATGCCCTGCCCTCCGACGCCAGCCTGAACTCGCTCAACAAGGCCCTGTCCTCGGAGACCAACGGCACGGACGCCAAGGGAAGCACCAGCAGTGGCAGCAACATCCAGTGAAGGCCAGCAGAATGGGCGCTAGCTTGGCCGATGGGGCCAACCCGCCCCCAGCCTCATCACGGCCCGCCAACACAGAAAAGGGGTGAAGGAGTGTTAAGAGAGCGGAGGAGGAGAGGCATCTACGGCTCACACTGGGGGGGGGACATCTCACTTGCTAGTCTTTGGATATGCCTTCAAAATATTAGTTCATAGTCAAATCTGCTAAGTTATTGCCGGTTCACTTTTCTGATTGGTCAGGCCTTTGTTGTGCTTGATTGTCCACCACACTGCAGTATGTCAGAGAGAGAGAGAGAGAGAGAGAGAGAGAGAGGGGGGGGGGGGGGGGACAGAGAGAGATCTTAAAGCTGACTTCTTTTATTCTATTTCTTGAACGACCCTTGCTCATTGACACCGAAACGGAAAGTCGTGTTAACTTCTTACTAACTATTGTACGTTTACAAAAATACAGCACTAAAAGGACAGAACATGAGATAATGTTTTTAACATATAAGGGTGTACAAACTAAATAAGGACTATTTATTGATAACTTTTTTTTGCTACTCTTTTAAAATAGCTCTGAAAATTAATTAGGCAGTCTTAAAAAGAATGTTGCAATGTTGTCGAAATGCCAAATAATGGAACGTTTTATGGTTTTGTACATATTATGCTTACCTCAGGTTCTTTTGGTGTGTGCTTTGACCTGATTTTTCTGTATAATGGCTAAATAACTCCGTAATGAATACCTATTTTCTTGAGTTTCATAACTGGAATTTACATTTACCTATCTATCATTTGCAAATATGTTTATTTTTTGTCTCTTTTGGAAGGGAAGGGGGGGGTAGATTTATCGTGGCTTGCTGGAATTGAGTGTTAATTTTTCTCTTTTTAAGTATTGCGAACAAAGTAAAAATAGAGAACCTATATTGTGTAAAAAAAAGAATACAATAAACTTCAAGTGTCTGCCTATGCATGTTTTATAAAAATCAAACAAAGGAAATAGAAAATCTGAATACCTTGGCTGTGGAGGCCTGTTTTGAAATATATTGCGCTTTAGTGAACATATACTGGATATATCTGCATAGTTTCAATTCAAACCATGATGCTCTATGCCTTCAACTTCTTTTGTAATTGAAGCATTTAATGATCTACGATGGATGAGAAATCATATTTTTAACCTGCGCTTGTCAGTGCACACAGTCCAATTAAGCATGTTTGACAATTCTTGTGAGGTGTGTGGTTACATGTGTAACTCAAAAATGCATGATTAGCTGTTTGTGTCATATAACAGGTAAAATCGGTTTTGTTCTGTTTTGTAAATGTGCCACAGAAAGTGTAATTTGATTCTTATTACTACTATTATTTGGAACTCTGCTTTGTATATCAGTTACAGGTTTGATACTGCTCAATACTTTAAGATGAAACAAAAAAAAAAAATACTTCAATCTTTTTTAAGAACTGCTTAAGTGCCCAAGTAATTCACTACACGACATGAAGCCTTGCTTTTGTAATTTAACTTCAAAACTGTTGGCAGATGAGGCATGCACTTGCAACTATGAAAAGTATTTTATATAACTGTTCAATAAAAATGTGCATGAATTTCAACTTGAAATGAAGCCGCTTCTCCTGTATGTGTGTTTGCGTGTGTGACTCGGGCTGCCCCTCAGTCCTCCACCGATGAATATGCAACCATGTAAAATAAAATCTAATACATAATACACATAGTCCTTTGGGCGTTTTTTGCATTCGGAGTGATAGAGCTGCATCGGAGAGCTACGTGATGTTTTCCAACAAGGTGACAGGAAACACTCACTATCGTCCATAAATCACACATGCAGGAATTTCTTACCGAAACAATTAACACCTTAGAGAGTTCAAGAGGGAGTCCAGAGTTATCTTTCCCAGCTTTAGTACTCCTCAGTAAATTAGTGTTTGTGTTGGCTGTGTACGGTTCCACAGCTAATGATTTTGGCATCACCTGCTCAGTTTGTAGATGGGAAAGTACTCCTTGGCAATTTCTTTGCAAAGGTGTTTCCTCTTTATGAACCTTAGTGACTTGTTTGATTAAACCATGAAGGTGAAGCCAAGATTTCTGGTATACACTGGCTTCCTTCCTTACAATACACATGATTGTGTCTGAAAAAGTTTTTTTTTTTTTTTTTAGCTCTGATTTGATTGGTTTAACAGCCAGTGGAGTGATTTACTTTCAAAAACCCAATAAGCCTCTCGTTTTTTGAAGTAGTTGTACAATTAAATAATAAATAAAAAGCTAAATTTAACTTATGGGCTTGTATTTTCTCGTCACTGGTTTCTGAAAAATGCTTTCTTCGGTCTCTTCAGCCCAAATCAAACACAATGCTCAAACCAAAGGAAGTAAACTCTGACATCCTGTTTTTTCGGGAGGGCCAAAAAACAGGAGCTTGATTTTGTAGCCTAAGAGGGACAATATGAAGACAGCAAAAAAAAATGCATCTACTTGTTGTATAGTAGATCAATTTAAAAGCCAATGTAATCGTTTTCTTTTTTCTTAAAATCACGGAAAGTCAAACTATCAATTCAGAAGAATTGAAAATAGATTTAGCTTTTGGTTTATGTAGCCTCAATAGTCTGCATGGTTAACCACCTAAGGTCATGTCCATGCTTTGTGAAGGCACGGTTACATAAACAATGAAGAATAGTCAAATGTAATGGCTGGAATTTAAGCAGCTCCCCTGAGTAATCAAGACTTGGCTCTTTGTCATTTGTTCCAACCACGATTCAACAAAACATTTGTAACTCGACTCAATCCAGTTTCTTATGTTTGTTTGTTTCGATGTTTGCCGTGTTAAAGTTGGTATCAGTCTGAAATGTGATGCAAGTGTTTCCTGTTTTTCCATGGATGGGGTTTGAGAATCGGTGCCAAAGCTAGTTATTCCAAAGTACTTAACGTCTTTGTTTCTCTTATATGATCACTTCCATACAATTCTTGGATATTGTTTATTTAAACTGGAGTTAACGTTCTTTATTTGAGAGACAGCAAATTAAATTGTGTAGTAGCAATAGGTAGGAGGGTGAGTCCCATTCTCCTCCCAACTGGTCAGGGAGTTGGTGATGCATTCAAACACGTAAAACCCAGATTCCTTTTAAATGGACACAGGTTTGCAGCCACTGACTGCCTTGTGTTGGTCCCCACAGCCACCCACTTTACGTCAGGGGGGGAAGCCAGTGTATTTCCTCCCGTTCTTTATCTAAAGGAAGTGCCAAAATAAGCATCAGCTTGCCCAAGCCTGGACACCTTTTCCACTGACCACTCTGCTGCAGTCTGAGGAAGAAGTCGGAGGAGTTCAAGGGGCCGTGGAATCACCATGAAGACTGCCAGGGTTGTTGTCCTGGTTCTGCTTGCATTTGTCCACAATCTAACACCAGGTAGGAGAACTATTTAGACGTCTTTGCTGAAAAAACTTGCAGTTATTTCAAAGAATTACAGCTCAGGGCCTTAAATAGTCCTGAACAGACCTTAACGAAAATTTGTTGGCATCCATTTTGGTACTGTGCCTGGGAAGTGCATGGACGAGTCAACCTTTACTGATTTGTCGAGACAAATTTAATACTTTCACAACTCATGTTCAAAATTATAAAATTGGATTTAATGTTGGAAGATTTTTGTGTGCTGTGCCACCGCTTTATTTCTGATTTATTATAACTTTTACTTTAGTTTTTTTGTCATGTTGTTTAGTTTTCCTTTGGTATGTGCAAAGATAGATATCACAGTGTTGTCAGAAGACACTCACACTTTGAACGGTACCTTGGAGACATCCACTAGATGAGTGTATTTCCGTTCATTCAGTCTGAGATCAGTGTGTGTCTATGTGAGCAGACGAGATCACAACTAGTTGTTTATTTTGCTGTAATTAGACAAAGTGAAGATAGAATTTAGGTTTGATCATGGATAATAGACGTCACATACAATAACAACTTCACTTTCATGTAATAAGCAGACAGAGGAGTGTCTCCTTGTTGAAGGAAAGGAAAAAGAGGCTGGCTCTCAATTTGTTTGTTTTCCTTGCTCAGAGCCAAAAGAACTGTTAACTGTTCTGCGTCAGGCAGATAGGTGATCTCACGTCAGATAGCCAGTGGGAACCAAACTGCCCTCTCTCTCACAGAGGCAATAGATCATTGTCTTGTGACCCAAACGTCCCCACTGGCAAAAAAAAAAAAAAAAAACACAGCTTCAAGCGTTCAGCAGTAGACATCTGAAGGAAACACCCTCACCCTGAGTACGGCTCGCCCGACAGGAGATTTGAAGCTGAAATTTATAATCCTCTTTTTCCACAGAACAAAAAAAAAAAAGATTTTAGAAATATTTCTTAAGCCTGGCAATTTAACATTAACTTTATTATATTCAGCATATCTGAAGTTGCAATGTGGCAAAAAAAAAAGAGGTTGTAATTGTCCTTTACAATTAAAACAAATATCAGTAATTTTAATAGTGCACATTACGAGATTTAAAATACTTTACTTGGCATGACTTTGACTTGTCCCAGAGGACTTTAGACTTGATTCGGAGCTTTACTTAAAACATTACATTTAATTTGACTCTTGCATCATATTCTTGAGATTCTCGTAAAAAGAAGCACAGACCTGTTCGGACCACAGTGGGTCTTTTTCAGAGCGTGGGAGTGTCAACACGCAGTGGAGGGTGGGGTCCACTTACATCATCAAGTGGACTGGAGGAGAATTACACCAGTATATATTTACATAATCCACAAGTGTCAAATAAGGAATGTTAGGATATACATAGTTACTTTAAAAGTAAATATAATAGTTTGAACAACACAAATGGAGATGCAGATATATTTGAAATATTTAAATGAGATTCTAGTTGGACATGCTTCAAATAACTCGAAGGTGTCGATGTTTTAAACTGAGACTTGATCACCAAACTTGACCTGTGTCTCAAAGACCTTTTGGGACTAGTGTGTGCTCTGGAATACTCACAACAAGACCGCCTTTGACGCGCCTCGACTGTTTTACGGACTTGAGAGATGGGACTTGCTCATTGCTCGAGGTTTAACTTGGACTTTTCTCAAATAAATGACAGGATATGACTCGCTCTGAAACACTTCAGACTTCTTTTGACTCGTCTGATTGTCTGAATAACTTGAGGTTTGTGAATTTCTTTTGAATACTTGAGACTTATTTGAACTTGTCTTACTTGCAATCCAAAATAACTTGAATTGGATTTTTCTTGAATCAGTTAAAGCCTATGAAATGTAACTTGAGACTAGATCTAAGATAATTAGAAAGTGACTCAGCATTGTTTAGAAGGAATTACAGAACTTGAGACTTGGGGACTTCTTTGAAATATTACACACCTACTTGACCTTGTTTGGAAATACTTTATGGACCTGAGATTCAATCTGAACTTGATCAAAAAATACTCAAGGCTTGACTCTGGTTCATTTAAAAGTAGAAGGCCTACTACTACCAGAGACCGTACTTGGGCTTGTTTTGAATTACTTAAAGGACTTGACCATTGCTCATTAATAATTGAGTCCTGATTTGTAGTTGGCAGCCCCAAAAAAAGTCTTACAACTTGCTTTTCCTTAACTATTTGACTCATTCATTCATGTGGTCTTTCCTGAAACGTGCGGTTGGGCGGTTTAATGGCGCCTCTGGTGTGAAATATGTTGACCAGCATCATTACTGACAGCAGTGAAGACAGGAAGCTCAGCTGCTCAGGTCAAGGGGACAACAATAGTGTGTCTGGGACAGGATGCAGCTTCACACTCCTGCAGCACTCGGAACAGAGGAAATCCACCTCAACTATTTTACATTCTCATCCCTCGTCTGACACTTAGGGCAAGGGCACGTCTTTGTCTCAGACTTTAGGCTTTAAAGCGGTGCCAAACAGGAATGGTAAAAATATGCAACAGTGAACCTAGAATAGAGAATCTGTCAGAAGAAATGTCTTACATAGACAAAGTGATGCTCAGGTCCCGAGGATGTGTGTATTACGGATTTCTAGATAACCAATTGTTCTAAACATTGTGACCAAAATTAGCCTACAGCAACCAATTTACTCTTCAGAAATATATTTATATTTATGAAAATGTTCATCGCCATTGTAAGACTTTGCAGATCCACCTGGTACAAATACAAATGTGCAGTGTTTTAACAGTTGTGTTATGCTTTACAGTTTCATCAGAGGAATCAGAACCATCAAAATCAGAAACAGGAGGTAAGTAAAGTATTAAAGGTAACAGTTCTACATCTTGGGATATTCTCACATTTGTTTGCTGGATAGAAGTAAAAAATGAAAATCAGTATTTATTTTTACAGTGTAAGGCCAGAGTCAATAGCCAGTTAGCTTAGCCTAGCACAAATACAGCTCCCAGAAAATAAATATCTTCTCTGTGGTTGAAAATTCGGAAATTCAGCTACCACAAGTTACTATAATTCTGTCGTCCGCGTATTTAGTCTGTTTTCTGATTCCTAAAAACAATTTTCTACTAACATCGTACCTGCTAACCTGCTAATTGAATTTTATAAGGACACACAGCCCCCATTACATTTAAAATTGCTCGTTTTCATTATTTTAGTTTTCAGATTTGATAACATAATTAGCCTACTTGTTTGATAGGAGCATTAAGAACTGTCTTCCTAAACATGTTACCTGCCATCCACTTTCACAGGGGCACAAAACCCCTCCCTATACATGTCAGAAATAGTAAGCTAAGGAAATAAGGTAGGCAGATTTTGTTATCTTTTTACAGAGCCAGAAAACAGTTTAAATCTGTTAGGCCTACAAGTATTTGCGCTGAGCTAACCGAGCTAAGTTCCAAACATTCTCCTGTTTTTCAAGATCAACGAGATCAACTGGAACGCTAAAAAAGTTTTATATATATATATATATATATATATATATATATATATATATATATATATATACATCTCTCTCTCTCTCTCTCTCTCTCACTCTTTCCTCTCACACGCACATACACTCTGTCATACCACCCAAAGGATGCTCATGAGGGAGGGGCATGACAATAATAATACAGACTACTGCATTTGGGGGTGTAGGGGGGCGGGCTTCCCTCTGCTTGGGGTCTGGTGGCCCCTCCCGCTCATGTGTGCTCGCTGAACAGGCCGGGTCCTGCAAGTGACAAGTCCCCTCCTGATGGTCATCGGGGGCTGCTGCTCATGCAGCATGCAAAGAAAGAGAAAAATAATAATAGCTTCGCCTCTCCCGCCATCCTACCCTCAAATCAAATCAAACGCTCAAAACCAAACCCAAAAACCCCCCGGCTTGTGTAGCCTACAGCAACCAATTTACAGAAATATATTTACATTTATGAAAATGTTCATCGCCAATGTTAGACTTTCCAGATCCACCCGGTACAAATACAAATGTGCAGTGTTTTAACAGTTGTGTTATGCTTTACAGGTCTACCAGGTGACTCAGGCCAACTAAAATCAGACGAAACGCCAGGAGGTAAGTAAAGTATTAAAGGTAACAGTTCTACATCTTGGGATATTCTCACATTTGTTTGCTGGATAGAAGTCAAAAATGAAAATCAGTATTTACTACCCTCAAATCAAATCAAACGCTCAATCCAAACCCAAAAGTTCGGCTGCAGCCACCTACCGCTAAAACATAATCATTACACAAACGCTCACCTCTCACCACCACAACATTGTTTAACATCAACATGTTCAACACACACCATACACACTGCTCAACTCCTCAACTCTCTTCTACCTCTGTTTGTTATTTTGTGCCTCATTTGTTATGTATATGTCACCAGTTTGTCACTCTATTGCACTTATAAAATAATAATAATAATGAATAAATAAATAAACTATCACGTGGTGTGTTGTTATCGTCTGGTATTAGCTAACAAAAGGGTTATAGTATTGCGTTTTGAACATAACAACATAGCTTGTTTGAAAGTTAGCGTAAGAGATAAGCATATATTTTGACAAAGCTAGGCTAGCTGTTTCTACATCTTACATGTAGGCTTACAGAACGCCTTCAACTTAACAGGCCGAAGTACGTGAGTCAATAACTGTAACTGTAGGAGTTTATGTATTTCAAACAAAACTTTAAATACATTTAAATGGTGGAATAATTGGGAAAGAAAACGTTTTTGTAGGCAGAACTTATCTGTACATTTACTTTGCGGCATCTTATTTCTTTATCGAGCCCAAGAAAATATGTTTGTACTTCTGGGTTACTTTAAGACTGTTCATGACAAGAGTTCTCGGGTTTTATAATAAAAAAAACCCTAAGCAACTACTTTATTTTTCTATCCCCAGCACCAGCACAAACACCAACACCAACACCAGCACCAACACCAGCACCAACACCAACAACAACACCAACACCAACACCAACATCAACACTAACACCAACAGGCACAAAAGCAGGAGGCCTACTCACAGTCTCAACAGCAGCACCTACAACCGCCCGAATAACTCCAGCTCTTTCTCCTGTTTCCCCCAGTGAGTAAGCATTTTGTTACCTGGAAGCTTGTCTGCAAGTTGCAATCCAACGAAATTCCAGAAAAGTTCTTTAATTATCTGTATTTAATTCTAACTAATGCAGATGGAAACGCCTCAGTGACAGAGAAGCCTGCTCCTCCTACAGCAGTACCAACAGACCACAAGGCTGTAACTGGTACACCTGCTGTTGTTGACTTGCCAAACAATGACAGTAAGTTTTTTTTTTTAACTTTCTCATTAGTGTGATGTTAAAACACCACATATGAACTGGAATTATTATTATTTTATTTTTTTTACATTAGAATAAATGCCATAGCAGAAGAGATTTGATTTAAATGTTTCAAGTTGTTTTGTCTTTTTTTTTTCTTTAAGCTATGAAAAATGGCACTGGGCAGCCAAGATCTTCTCAACACCCTATCTCCATTTCTGGAAATGACTCAACAGAGATAATAAATGTCAATGACACTAAGACACAGAAGGGTGACTGCAGTCAGCAAACTTAACATATATGGATTTAACTATCCATCCTTTTTTTGCACCATTATTAAACTAGTTTGATTTTTTTTCTCCAGGAATTGAAGAGACCACTGAGAAACAGAAAACAGGAAAAGGTATGTTCCAAGACCCCTTCTTGTTTTACATTTTAAAATCCTATCAAATATTTGTTGTATACTTAATTTAAGAAGAATTGGTATAGATGCTTTTAATTCACATTACATTGTTCTTTTCTGTAATATCTGCAGGTACAACTAATACTGCCCAGGTAAAGTATATATTTGTAAAAAATTATGT